AGGATTGGCTTGGCACATCTTACAGCACAATTTATAGTTCCCCCGTTCCCGCGCTTAGCCCGTTGCTTGGATACAGATTACCCGCAGTAATCCCCCCTCTCACTCAAATGGCAGATTCAGTCCAGTTCTTTTGTGTTCTTGATTGCTTCTTATCAATGGCGTGGTTGTTGTCTTCATTGGGTCTTTCTGTTGCGCGCAAAGCTGGGAGTTCTCAATCACGTCCTGATTGCTTTCCCTCTGAGCCACTGCTCTCCCCTTTGTCTGCAGCGCCCGAGGCAAATTGGCGTTGACACAAAATATCCGCTTGTGGTTTAGTTACGTGGTGCCAGCTGGCCCATTAATCAGTTCGTGGTTTCTCAGTTCCCCTTTGTCTCTGCTGGCGCTCGGGTGGTGAAACTGACTAAGCGCGGCTGGGCAAGTCCCTAGCCGTGCTGCGCCAGCTGAATCTCACACAAATCTCAGGGTAAATATTCTTTAGTCCTTCTTAGCAGGAAGGCAAATTTGATCATTCCAGTCAGTTTGGAAGGTGTATATTTCTAACAATGGCATAAAACTCTCTGCAGAATTCAAATTTAACTTTTGAAATAAAAAAACAAAACAAATTTTCCATTAGTTTTTTTTTCCCCATAGAACTTTGCATTGTTTAGCACAGCTAAGGTAAATTAAACAATTTATTGATTCTTTTTCAGCTTAATGACTGAAAGTATCCAACCAATCAAGTATAGGTTCCTAAATCATTGCAAAGCGCCAAACAGAAATCCAAAAAGTTATAAAAAGAGGTTTAATGAACCCAAACCCAAAGGAGAGGTCAGAGGTCATCCTTTAGTGCAAAGTCAAACTAGAAAACCCTAGTAATTCAAGCAGGAAAGGGAGCTTCGTATTAAAACTTTTTTTAAAAAAAGTCATTTTAAAGTTGTCATTTTCATCTCATTCAGCCAAAAATTAAAGTGCAGGCATTTTAATGCTTCCCCTTTATAGCCAAGAGTTGACTTAATGAAACAAAAGCAAACAAACATTAAAAAAGTATCTCTCAAATTACATTGTTTTGTTCTTGAATCTTGAATAACAAGGATGAATTGAATCAGATCCTCTTCAAAACCTCCAACTGAATCTCCTTTAAAAATGCAAGCGCTTATGCACACCCTCTTTTGGAGCAGATTCTTGTTATGATATGAGGAGAAACAAAACATTTAAGAGACAATGGGCAAATTCAGCTGGTTTACTTTCACTTTCTATCTTGCTCAATTTTAACCACACAGAACTTTTGTCTATATGCACTTCATTGATTATGTTTACTATAATTGCAGCTTACTGCTAGGTACAATACCCAGGAACACCTAGGGTACACATCGACTTTACTCACCTATCCCCAAGATTCTGATGCCTCAGCTATGTTGGACCAGTTTGGGATGTGGTGTGTCTGCTTCTTGGTTTCTTTATTTCACCATAAAGAAGGTCTGACAATCATTGTAAGTTTACAAAGGGAGATTTACAACGGCTCTTAGAATTTCCTCAACAAGTGTTGACATTGTTTTTCTTTTGGGGAAATAAATGAGAATGATAGGAACAAGTTGACATGTTCACAAGGATCTTCTGATCTATCAGTATCTTTATACCAGATAATAATGTGGGGGCTCAATGATGGAGAAGATGGCTAAGAAACAGAAAAAAAACAGCTGTAATCTTTTTTTTTTAATAATATTTTATTGAAATTTTAAAGTTACAAAGTTAAAAGTTAGAAATGAAAAAGAAA